GTAGTTCCGCAGCCACTGTTACTCAGGTGCTGATTCTGCCGGTGCTCAGGGCGAGGCGGGGGTCGGATGGGGGACCGGCCAGGGCTCCCTGGGTTTGGGGTGCTGTGTGGGTCCGCAATTTTGAATCACACCCCCGAGAGTTGTTTGTGATCCTGCCGCCTAGGCGAGTCACTAGGGGACGTGCTTTGTACTGAGAGAGTGAACATCAGAACCGCCAGGCTGGGTCAGACCAAAGGCCAACCTAGCCCAGCGTCCTGTCTGCTGATAGATGCCAATGCCAGGTGCCCCGGAGGGAGGGGGTGCTGTGTGGGTCCGCAATTTTGAATCACACCCCCGAGAGTTGTTTGTGATCCTGCCGCCTAGGCGAGTCACTAGGGGACGTGCTTTGTACTGAGAGAGTGAACATCAGAACCGCCAGGCTGGGTCAGACCAAAGGCCAACCTAGCCCAGCGTCCTGTCTGCTGATAGATGCCAATGCCAGGTGCCCCGGAGGGAGGGAACCCAACAGGGAATCATCCATTTCTAATAAGTATTGATGGACCTAACCTCCAGGAATCTATCTAGTTCTTTTTTGAACCCTGGTCTTCACAGCATCCTCTGGCAAGGAGTTCCACAGGTTGATTGCGCCTTGAATGAAGAAAAACTTCCTTTGGTTTTGTGACGTAGCGGGGGGTACCTTGCTGGTTGCTATGCTGGGCAGTAGGTTGTGAGTGACCTCCACTGGCTGCTGGCTGCAGCACGGCCCAGCAGGGCAGGGGATGAGTCATTATGCAAGGGGGCTTCGAAACTCGTCAGACAGGTAACTCCCAGGGAGCGGAACAATGGGAAGAAGGGGTGTGGAGCCCTGGCTGGGGGTAGGGCTGGAAGTGAGTGGGGTAGTTTCTGTGTGGTATCATGGAGGAAGCAGCCTAGGCAACAGGCTGGGATTTAGGGGCCCAGGCTCCCCCATCTGAAGGGGGGCTGAGGCATCCTAGGCCTGCCCTGTAACCAGTTACATCTGTGCTGTGCTGTATCCTGGAGAGGCAATAAACTCCCTCTATTCCACTGGCTGGGGGGGGCTGCGTGTGGC